GGTACTGTTGCAGAAGGTCTACAAGGTTCGTTTTCTGTTCCTTCGTCAAATCTCCCATTGGTAACTCAAATAATTTGGCGTCCCATTCTTGAGTGAGTTTGGCATGTCCGAAGTGTAAAGGGACCTCGTTCTGGCGTTTCCATTCGTCAGGATCTTTCTTTTTGCAATAGAATCAGAGTTGTCGATCATGTTCATTAGCGACGTCAACTACTTCTTCTAACTGTACTTCGCTCGGCATTGCATCTTGTACTAAATTGTCAGGATCCAGATTTCGGTTCTCGAAATCGGAACTGATTTCTGCGACGATTCTTGGCGATAACCGTTGTACAGTAATGTAGTTAGTTAATTCTTCATAACATCGGGAGCAGGAATCGCTTGGTGAAACTAATCGGTCACCACACCAACATCGGGCTGTAGGCCCTTTCCAGTCATATGTCCAGGTCGCTCGTTTGGGTGGCTTTCTTTGAAACTGTTCATTTAGTCGAGCGAAATAGGTCCATAGATAGAAAGACTTGTCTAAATAGACTCCTCCTTTGGTTAATACAAAATTTTCCTTTTGGTAAATTCCGTTGATTACAACTTCTTGAAATCGGCAGGTCAATTGGAGCGAAAAATTCTGTTCGATGCGCGGGGAAGGCCTTTGTTTTACTTTAAAATGACAGAATACTTTTTCGTTAAGGTCTTCTTCCTCGTATTCTTCCTCTGTCTCCTCTTCTTCTTCTCTCATATCTTCCTCCTCTTCTTCTCCTTTTCGATTTGTCTCCTCTTGTTTCCTCCGTCTTTCCATTGGTATTTCTAAATATTCGATCTGAACTTCAATGTCTTTTCCTTCCCAGTGGATGAGCATGTTGGCAGTTTCATAATCAATATTAGCTTTTACTTTCGATAACCAATCGTTTCCAACAATCGCACTATAGGTCATAGTTTCGGTGACCACCACATCAACTGGGATGGTCACTCCTTTAATAGTAATGGGAAAGTTAAGTACTTCTCCTAAAGGCCGTTTTCGTTCTCCGTTAACGTTAATCATCAAAGTGGTCGAAGGCCGATCGATAGCTATTCCAAGGTCATTTAATAGTCGGCATGAAACAATGCTTCCAGCTGCCCCGCTATCGAGAATCAAAGGGATCTCTTGTCCTTTTACTTTAGCGTCACAATATAAGGCCGTCGCATTCGGATTATCTTGATCGGAAAATTGGGCAGCTAACTTAGTTGTTCGGGTACCCGGTTTTCGTATACTCTTTCCGACGTCACTTCGTAATTTAGGCGAAATCTGGAACAACTGTCCGAACGAAATATTCGCTCGTTGCTGTTGCAAATCGGCAACAATATTATACGGTTGAATGTGGGCTGCAATAGATGGTTGAGGTTTTTGTAGTGGCCTCTTTCGGGCTACCATTTTTTTCTTCGGTCGGATTGGAGTAGGTTGAACTGTGGAGATGGTAGGTTGGACTATTCTTTGTACATTCCCTTGCACAGATTCGGTACTCCCTGTTGGTCGAATTTCTTCCATTCTTACGGTCGGTTCAACAGCAACATCAGTCGTAATAGGGGGATCTTCTTTCTCTTCTTTGGTCTTTGCATAAGGATGACTCCTCGTGACCGGTCGATTTCTTTCAGCAGGATACGCTTCGAACAACGTACAAAATGAGGGGTTTTGTTCCGGTTTCGCACCCTTACCCTCAAAGGATGCACCTTCTAGTTTAAAGACTGACTGGTAGCTCCGAGCTGATTTTGCGCTGCTAACTGTTGTATTAAAGTCTGAAGTGTATTTGGATCTATGGCCGCTTTATCGTTAATGGTATTTGTTCCTCTATTCGGACATCGTCGACTGATATGTCCGGGCTGTCCGCAAGCATAGCAAGTAACCGAAGGGTTGCCAGGAGTTACATTTCGGTTGTTTACATTATCTCGAGGATTAGGATCGTCGTTTCGTGGAGGTCGATATCGATTGGGTTGTGTTTCGACCTTCCTGGTCAATTCACCAACTTGCGTAACGAGGGTGGAGACAATCTTTGCTAACTCGGTCGTTTCTGATTGGACGGTAGTTGCATAATTACTCGGCTTCTTCTTTCCTTCCCTCAAAGTGAGTTCACATGCACGAGCTCTATCGATAGCTGCCTGTAATGTCTGATCAGCAAAAGGCTTAACGGCTACATATAGTTCGGGTAGCAATCCGGAGATAAATTTCCGCGCTTGAATATTGTCCGGGTAAGCAAACGCTCCATCATTAATTCGTTGGTATAGTTCCTGTACTGAGGACGCATATTGATCCACAGATTCTCCGGGTTGCTGCTGTCGTTGATCGAGTTCTGTTGACCATAATTCGACTAAAGCAGGCGTTCGAAACCTTTGTTTAAAAACATGTTCGAACGTATTATTATTGGCAGCACCGTCCCAGGCGTTGATAGGATTCCCAACTACCGTCTGATACCATACGGCGGCAGCTCCTTTTAAATACGCTGGAACGACTTGGAGTTTACGAACGTTATTCCATCCATTGGCCGCGCAAGCTAAATTAAATTCGTTTAACCAGGCGATTGGGTCTTGATTTCCTCCGTAGAAGGTCGGAACTTGTGCGGCTTGTGTTCCTCGGTTATGCATCGCATTATTATTGGCGGTAAGAGTAGCGTTTAATGCGTTTACGGCATTATTAACATTCGCCCAATTGTTTCCTCCAGCGCCAAGAGCGTTCGTTAAATTATTTAGGGCGTTCAACAAGATATTAGGATTGAATCCTCCACCAAGGGCGGCCATTCCGGGTACTTCTGGTTCTTCGAATAGCTGGTTGAGATGTAAGTCTTCGTCAGCGAATAATAGCCCAACTGGTTCCGGCTCAGGGAATAATCGGTTTAAGTTTAAATCTTCGTCAAGAAATAATAATCCTACTGGTTCTTCCCTGAAAAGACTTTCGATGTGTAAGTATTCGTCAGTAAATAATAGTCCTGGGGTCGCCGGTCCCTGGTTTAATAATCCGTGAAGTAAGGGATGAAAATTGTTGGGGATATCAAAACTTCCGGTGGAACTATCGGAGTCGGTTGATGCGTTTGCTTCGCTAATTTGGTATAATTCTTCAAAGGGATCCTTTCGAAAAGTATCGGTAAGGATATACGCGTTATATAACTCTTGTCGTAATTGAGTGTAGGGTCGAGGCTCAATAGAATACCGGATACTAAAAACAATCGAGTAAATGGCTTCCCAAGTTTCTACAACAGTTAGGGAGGCGTCAAGGTTTATCAGAGCCTGTTGGGTATTTCGTGTGTATTCGATAGCTGGATTCTCAACGGAATACCAGTTCCAGAAATGGTCAAATTGTAATGTATTGGGTAGAGGCGGATGGCAACGGATACACGATGGGTCGCGATGATAAAAGGTAACTTGATCTATTCGGTTATAAAGGCGATGCCAACGGTTATGTATTCGGTTCTGCGTAAATAATATCTCGTAATCGACCATACAAAATAGTAAGGGCCGATCCTTATAAGGAGCACCAAGTTGTTACCACCGATTTGTGTAGTTCGGGAGGGCAGTAACAGAAATATATACGGGTTAATTTATAGAATTTGACTAACAATAGGCAGTAATCGGCAATAAATCGTGAGGAAATGGGTAGGGTTTATCAACAATTAGCAATAGATTTATAAACAATGTATATTTATTGAATGTATAACAATCGGAAATAAAATTGACAATAAAAACAATAACGAAATGTATAAAATTGGAGTGATTGGCGGGTTCTTTATTAACAATTACAAAAGAATTTCCTAATATTACTGCCTCTGCCGGCGCTCTGTAATATTCCCAAGGTTCTATCTAAGTGTTAATAATCGAAAAATCACTTCCCCGAAACCTCAGCGGAATTTCTTCCCTTAAATATTATTCAAAATTTGGGACGATTAGTGCTTTGGCCAACTCGCCCGTTATTCAAATCGTCCAAAGTACAACTCGTTTTCCGGTCAAATTGTCCATTGTACGAATCGCCCATCACAGCCATAATTGATTCCCACCAAGCCATACGCCACATTTCCTATAAACTATATATATAAATTGTATAAATAAACTATATAAATAAAATAAACTATACTATATAAATAAACTATATCAAATAAAAATAAAATAAACTAAATATAAATAAATAAATAAATAAATAAAATATACTATAAAAAAATAAATCATATAAGAATAACTATATAAAAAATTCCCGTGACATTAATAAAAAATATTATATACGATAATTAATATTGAATTTACATTGTACTTACTGCATATTTAATTAATTTTGAAATAATATAGTCTTCATCCATTTCAATCTTTGGATGTTCAGGATCCAGCATATTTTGAACACATGCCTTAATTACAAAAGTGTTATTTTTAGTTGCACTTTTACCAAACACTTTTGTAACAATTTGATAAAGTAGCGACTCATTATCTTCATCGGAGGTTTCAAGATTTTTGTACCACTACCGGACTTTATCACTTGATTTCCATATAGCAAGTTCTGTTTGGCTAGTAGATGTATCCACTTTATCTAATTGACCTTTTAAACATGACCATGTATGTCGACGTATTGTTCCGAATAAACTTCCACGATATGAACAGCAATATGAACCAACCTAAACAATTATTCATATAATTGCACAATTATTAGCATAATATGAATAAATAAAAAAAAAAATTACTAATAAACCATTTAAATTTACCTTTTCCTCAATTCTCCGCCACAAGATGTTCCATTTAGTTGGTTGTTCATATTTTTGCATTTTCTCAGGAGCCATTACCGTTAAATGTCTTTTTATATGTAATGAAAGGGATTCTTCCTTCTGATATAAGCAATCATTTATTATTTCCTTAACTCCATCTTCCACATATTGCTATATAAATAAAAATTAAAAATAGATATAAAAAGTATTTTACAAATATGCATACCTCCCACCACTCAGACTTTTTCTTTCCTTCTATATTACTTTCCAATTTTTCAGTTATAGATCTAATTTGTTTGATTTGTGTTTGAATTTGGCTCATAGACTTTTCTTGTTTCTGAAACATAATCATGGTTTGATCAAACATCTTTTCATGAAGGTCAAAAAGTCTCTTTATTTGATCTTCAATAACTATATTGAATATTTAAATTATTAAAAAAATTAGTATATATTAATTATTAATTATATTAGTTTTGAAACATACCATTAATATTTTGATTGGTAACACCAGTATGAATTTGATTTTGGTCAATGTCAACCAATGGTAAATAGGGAGCATTTACGTTTCTATCTTCAACTGTAATTGGTAATTGTGGTTCAGATGAATCTTTCAATAGATTATCATCTGTAATACTAATTATATCATCGGTCAATGATGATATATCAAGCACAAATTTTGGAGTGGGAGAATTATCATTAGTATTAAGCATAGTTTTTAAATTAGATGGCTTAGATGTATCATCGCTAGTCAATGTGTTATTGATTGTAAATTTTGAAACTAGTGGCTTGTTAACTTTCTGTGTATGAGTTTTCCGTTTTTTCTTTTCATTGTTTAATGCAGAGTTCGTATTTGTTTCAAATTTATCAATAATCTAAATAAAAAAAAATACATGTACTGTAAAATATACAAATGACAAATATTATTCAATAGTATTTACAGTTTCAATGTCTTGTTGATCTTTCACTTTACGCTTTGAATTTGATCTAAGATTCCTTATGGTTTAAAAAAATTAACAAAGGAATAATAAAATAAATAATGAAAGATAAAGTAAATAACAGGGAATATGAAAATTAAAAAGAAAACGAGAAAGTAAAGGCAAAAGTAAAAGTAAAAGGATAAAAAGTTTATTCCTATTTATACTATTTTAGAAAGTTTAAGTTTATTTATACTATTACTAAATAAAAAAATAATGAAAAGATTGGGAGATATGGAAAGGAGATATGGAAAGGAGACGAAAATAATGAAAAAAAAAAGAGATATAAAAAGGAGATATGGAAAGGAGAGAAAGGAGACGAAAATAATGAAAAAAAATAGAGAAGATATGGAAAGGAGACGAAAAAATGAAAAAAAATAGATATAAAAAGGAGACGAAAAAGTAAAAAAGTTTATTTTTACTAAAATAAACTATTTATACAGTATAAAATGATATGATATCATTATAGAAAATATACTGACCTCGCTATAAAATTTGTTACCCTTTTTAGTTTAAGTTATCTATGGGCTGATTCATTACTATAAATGGCCATTAATAATGATTTTATAGTATAAGTGCGTTAAATGTTTTTTCTTGATCATTTAACATGATTTTATTACTTTTATAAAATTAATAGTACACTATTTATATTATCAAATTTAATTAAAGGTTCTTTTAATTTTCAATAATGTGGACATGTAATATTTGCTTTAAAACATTTGATCACTCAACAAGTTATTATAATCATTGACAAGTCACAAATTCAATTATGAAACAAATTTGAAAATCAAAAGATATATGAATATTTTTTAAACCTATAAAAATTTATACAAAAATTTTATATGAAATATGTATTAAATTTTTATATTTATATAATTAGTATATGAAATACTTGCATAATATTTATTTGACTATAATTTACATGTAAAGTTATATTTATATAATTCTATATCTATATAATTTTACTTTTAATAATTGCGTAATGTGTACTTGACCATAAATTATATATAAATTTATATTTAAATAGATTTATATTTATATAAATTTTAAATAAAATATTTATAAAATTTTTATAGCTAAATAAAAACCAAATAAAAAATATATACGTATTATAGACTTATAAAAATTTATATAAAAAATTTATATTGGGTATATATAGGGTTATAGACATTACATAAACTCTATAAAAAATATAACTGCTGATGTATAAAGGTCAATAATTAATATGAACTTAATTTATTTGCGTATTTTTGTAGGATTTTCAATATCAGGTGTCAATTATGCGTACTACTCATATGAAAAGTCCCTGCGTACAGCTCATAGTAAAAAAATTTTTCGCCACCTGACCCTTATATATATATTTCTGGATCCTAGTGTAATACATTATTTGATTTTCAATTATCAATTATTATACTCAGAGGACGTAGATTTGTGATTTATTACGACAAATTGATGGTATCCCAAATTTAAACAATCATGATTGAAAAACTAAGTTTTATTAATATTTAATACCATTAGAGCGTTATGGACAATTATAACAAGAATACAGCATTAAAAAAATTATTAATATATTTTATTAAACTCAAACGATTGCTATATTGATAAACAGAATGCGTCATTAAATCTCTCTCTATATGCATATTTATTTTATTTTTTATTATATATATATGTTTTTTAAGAGAAAGTATATAAAATTATTACACTAAATAAATTTTCATTCATTTCATAAGTAGGCGTGAATATTCACAAATTAATGATCTTCTGAGATTAATTTATAAGTTGTGCGGTTAATTATGATTTATAAATTTTTTGACCCAGAAATTACGAAATTAATCCCCTGTCGCACTCATGATCACCTTCATACTAATTTTTAAAAATTGCGAGTGATTAGCTGAGTTTATAAATGACTGGGAATCATCGTTTAGATATTTCCCGGCCTCATATAGATAGCCGGGAAATTACTAATTTTAGTTTAAAATAGTTAAGTTTAAAATAGTTAATATTTAATGAGTGACACGCTCCAGGGAATTACCCATGAAATAAATAATACAAATAAATAAATATATATATTTTCAAGAACTATTTGCATCAACCATTCTTTACGTAGGAAAATACAAATAATATTAAGTATAATAAACAAGATCAATATATAATCAGCAGTTTTCAAACAATTTACGAGATAATAAAGAAATGTGATCAATTAATATCATCATCAAAGTAACATATTTCTCCGAAATTAAGCACCTCTTTTTGCATATAATTCCGGCCAGAATAAACATAATTTAGGTCAAAATCATAATTCTGGTCAGGGCGCTTTATTTTCCGGTAGTGCTTAATTTCGGAGGAATACAGTATAGTGGTATGCTTATTTCCATAAATAGGGTTCTATCGCCTACTTTATACTGATTCTTCCCATAAAAGCTTATAATCCTTAACCACAATGAGCTACAAAAAGAATAGCATAATTTATGTGAAATTGTTACATGGTTCATTCTTGCTATAAATAAATTTCTCAACTAACACATATTCAAAGCACGACAGGGAATCATTTTTGCTATAAAAAAATTTGGAATTAAAGTTTGAAATTAATTACTTTTCGGAGCGGTGATCAGACTAGATATAAAAATATAATAAGTATTTGAAATAATAAAATTTAGTATTCGTTCACAAATTAGATATTATTATTTTTTACTTGTTTGTCTATATTTACACATGAAAAATTTGGATATACCTTTTTTCGTATCACAAATTTCATGCAAGATTTGACTCATTCAATTTTCCTATTTCGGTCGATCAAGCATAGATAGATGATTCCATACTTGCGCCAAAAAAAGCCTATCTTATTCTGGTTGATAATGATGATCATCTAAATCTTAGAATAATCATTCTTGCCATAATAACTTATCTAGGGGATTGGAATCGATTTCCATAATTAGAATCAATTTTAGAATCGATTAATCGCGATTAATCGTTTCTCAAATTTTGATTCTAAAATTCGATTTTCGATTTCGATTAATCGTTTCTAATCGATCGTGCAACATTAAATTTGTGAAAGGAAAATTTCCGATGACCACAAATTTAACATATAAATCATTTGATTATTATAATAATAATCAGTGATCGGCGGTAACTCTGGCCAAGCTTATAATTCCGGCCAGAATTAAGACTTTAGTGTAACCCATGTCCGATTGTCACGTGATTTATCATTCGTAATTCTGCACGTCATTATCTGTTATAGTTTAGCAATCCAATTTTTTTATTTTACTGTAAAAATAATTTTGTATTCTTAATGTAGACATTTCATGTATTAGGTATGCCTTCTTTTCATATGTTAAATAGAATTTTATTTTTCTATTTATTTATTTACTGAAATTAAGACTTTTTTTTATTTTTATTTAAATAAGTCTCTAGTATAGCCTAAAAAATCGAATAGAATTTTATTTGATGTTTTGATCCGGATAAAAAACATTGTCCAGATAAATGAATAAATAAAAAAAATATCCGGTTTCTATCTGATAAACTTGACATTTATATTTATGAAAACAGATGTTCAAGAACTATCGTGGAGTATAATTTATTTTGGCAAGTTAAATTAATAAAATTAAGCAACAAGAAATTTCGTTTAAGATATAAATCAATTAGTATATAAGGCAGAATTTTTATCTTTAGAGTATCTAAATGAAATATATACATGAGGCAAATTCTAAACAATTTTAGACGAATATAAATTGCAGATGAATAATGGACGAATTATTCTAAATTTATCTTTTTACTTTAATTATCAAATTCATTTTTTATTTTCTAAAAAATTCGGTAAAGATGAAATTTATTGCTGATCTGCTTGTGTAACAATCACCTGACTGCAACTACAGCGGGGGACGGCTGAAACTAGCAGACTTTTTGGCATAGAAATGTTTGCCATAGTAAATTCCTAAATTTGTAAAATAAATTAATTGTAGATCTATACTAAAAGTTTCAAGTGATTTTAATTTTCCAAAGCAAGTAATTCCTGCTGTTAACTGCCGCACCAGCCGCATTCAGGCACATTTATGCAGATTTATGCGCCTAAAACAGGTCGCGAAATGATGCACACTTTTGTCAAGCCATACATTATATACAGAAACTTGTAATAATGTGTATATACATATATTGATAATTAAGAAAACTTTATTTTAACTTCCATTTTTTTATTTCCAATTATGTGGAAAAGAATGACGTTATTTATAGAAATAATAGAATTAAAAGAAATTCTTTGTTATTTTATGTTACTAGTTTTTTTTTTTTTTTTTTTCAGAAAAATGTGTACTTTGTATTTTATTTGATACATTGAGGCTGAATCAAAATATGTATTCATAATAATCAAAATGGTAATACGCATATTCAAAAATTTTATAAAATATCGGTGTAATAAATGAACTTTTGTCAGTAGGATAATAAACCTATTAACAAAATACTCTTACATCAAAAAAGTTTTAAGGTGTGTTTGGAAATTTTACCTTTTCTGTAAAAGAACTCCTAGTAATTATTTGTAACTGTTTTTAACAATGATCAAATTTAACCTTCTTTACTCATGCTACTTCTACTTAGCTTCCTCTAATCTCTTACGCTTAACTTTGAGGTTACTCTTCATTATCAGCCTATCTATTTAAAGGAAGTTCAAGAGTCTCAAATGCCCCCTACCTCTTTCTCAGCTTTTCAACTGCCTAAAACTCAAATACAGAGAAAACATGAGTTGGTCGCTGGTCTCTTTAAAGAGATCTTAGAAAGATTTCGGGACTGGGATCTGTGTCGAGAATCGCCCAGCCTTTTCCTGGTGTATGCCTATGACAATCCCTCTGTTGGTCGAGCTGACGCTGGGGTTTCCCGGAATTTGATTCAATGGTTGTCCAGTTTACGTTTCCATATTTATTCTGACTGCACGGTAAGCGGATATAATACTTTAGCGTTTCAAACCACTTTGATGAATACAGCCAAGGCTGATGACGTACTGTCCAGTCAGCTTTGTTTATTGCCGAATCACTCAGAGTCTGTAGATAGAGTTATTTTATGTGGATCAGAAGTACTGGGACGCTATATAGAAACTTCATATTACCAGAGCTATTATCAGTCACTCAAAAGTGCCTATCAAAAAGCTTTAAAACAATTTGATGGGATCGACAGCATCAAGGAGGCATTACGTGAGGTCGTTAATCACAATCTGAAGGAAAAGGAGTTTCACCATGTGTTAACAGAACTGGCCTTTTTGCATATTCGGTATGATTACAAGCAAGAAGATCATGGTATCATTCCAGTTTTACTCAATGGAACATTTCAGAAATGCTTTCCGGCATTCATTGTAAAATCAACCACCATTTGCATCTATGAGCCTTCTTTGTACGTCCCAGGGAATTGGAATGGTGAAGAAACCTATCAAGATCAAGGTGTGCATATAGGATTTTTCAAACTGTTAAAACGGCTACTTGTAAACCAGGAAAGGCGCATTCAACTCATCGAAGAAGAAGTCTACCATTCTTGTATTCAAGCATTGCGAAAGAATCATTCCAAGGTGTTAGAACCACAGGCATTTTCAACCTATATGAAAGATGCCTACCTAAAAGTCTTAGACAAACTGCTGGAAGATGGTACAACCTTCCTGCGACAACTTGGTCCTGAAACTTCTCCAAAACCTATTCCTCAATGCAAACAAAATAGCATGTTACAAACTGCTCAAATTCTTGAGGTCATGCAGGCTCAAACTCAAATTGAGTCTTTAATTGAAGCTAAAGTCAGTGCTCTTAAAATAGATCTTAAATCTTATCTTCAATCTGAAATTCATTTAGTTAAATCTTCCATAGATTCTAAACTTGAAGCTATGCAGGAAGCACAAACTTCTCTGAATTCTAAATTAGAATTAATTTTGGCTTCATTAAATAAACCTTCTAGATAGTTTTTATAAATAATAAAAAAATAATTTTTGTTAATATTCAATACTTTCTTTGAGTAATTTACATTATATACTTATCACGCATAAAATATTTGAGTACGCATTCTACAATAGCTTTGTTCCCTTTTGTTGGTTCATTTTAATTTCTGTTTAGCCCTAACCATTATATTCATTGAATGTACAGTTTTGTGTGAATGATATAAATGTATTAAAAAAACTAATACTCAAGTTTCATTGCGAAATTTTACCTTAAATTTTGCAATTACTGAAATAATGGTATACTAATTATGCTAACCAGTCAACCCAAGCCATTTATTTTTTGTCTAGCGATCTACATATACCTTTATCCATACTTAAAAAAGGAGCAAAAATTTACTATTAGCTCTACGCATTTTTTTCAGGGCCGGAATTATGATAATGTCAGTCACCTACTACAATAAGTAATAAAATTCTGACCAACATTATTGGAAATTATCTAAAAAAGGAAAGATTTTCATGGCTATTTTGACATATCCTACGCGTTTATTTCGTTACCTATTTAGTATTGCTCGGGGTCCTCTGGTCTATGAAGTGAAGAGTCGTGTTTTACCTCGTGGCGTGTCATTTTTATGAAGAATAATTTTTTTCAATTTTGAAAGAAAAAAAGGAAGCGAAATAAGAAAGTATCTGTATTTTCATGAAGGAAATTGATTAGTTTATACCATTTTTGTAAGCATGGGATAAATTACTAAGTGTTGTTTAATCTAATAATTTATACGTTTTCCTTTATGGTAAAAGATTATGGTCTCGGATAAACTAGTAAACAATTTAAAATTTACTCTGTTTGCATACATTATTGTGTACAATAATTTTACAAATTATAAGTATTAAAAAAAATTATCTATATTATTTTTAATTTAAACAAATAAACCTTCTTAATATTGTTTTTTTATGTTTTTTCTATACTTATTCTATAACTTACAAAACATAATCATTTGAATAAATTCCGATCACTGATCCAAACTTAAGAGGCATAAGAATGAAAAGAAAAAAAAATTTCGAAAAAAAATTAGTAAAAATAATAAGAAAAAAATTATTAAAAATAAAATTCGGAAAACACTGTAGCACCGCAACATCGATCATCGATCTGAACACCGATTAAGCCTAAAAGAAGAAATATATTAAATACATTTATATATAGAAAATATATGTATAAAAACATTAATATAATTAATATAGAATATTATAAAGGAAATAAAATTAAAAAATAATTGAAAAAATTAAAAAAAAATTCGGTTTTAAAAAAAAACTGGAACTGACCGAACGCATTGTATCGAGTTAGTAATACAAACTAAGCTTTTTTTCGTTAATTAGTAAAAAAAAGTTTCCTATTAAAGTTTGGAACGTACACATGAACTCGATAACCAATCAAATAATGCAGTGGGGTGTGACGGTTGTGACACAAAAAGTCACGTGATTTTTCGTGACATTTTTTTCAGGTTACGCTGGTAAAGTCTATTATAATGCGCCATACTGTTCAAAAATCCCGGGTGGCCACCCTGGATGCATCCAGGGTGATTTTGAAAATTTACCCTGGATGCAAACATTACCCTGGATGATCATTGAATTTCTACACGAGTCGTTACATATTATCGGTCACGTGATATATCACATTGCTCGTCTTAGCCAATGAGGATTCAATTTTTGTGATATCATCATTCTTATATTACTACCATTAGATTCATCTAAGCAAAAATGAAGCCAATAAGATATAAATTATTGGTTTCTAATTATTAGTTTCATCAGGAAATTTTACAGGTGATATATAGCAATATATATCACTTTATCGATATATATCTTATTATTTATAAAATGTGATATATATTGATAATAATCGCACTCGTCGAGTAGTATCGATATAGATAAAAACGATAAATCATCAAATTTAAACCTAAATGATAAATATCGATATTTAACAAATAATAAACAATCGATATTTAACAACAATCGATATTTAACTTAAACAATAGATATCAAATTTTACACATCAAAATTTAATTTTATTTAATTATTGTAATATACAAATAAAACGAAATAAAAATATAATAAATACAACATTAAATATATTTCTAATTAAATAAAATAAAATAATAAATGGTTCACAACAGGATGTTGCGAAACCAAAATGGCAGAATCCAAAACTTATACACCAAATTTCTCATGTCTAAAGGCCCAGCCGTCTAAAAAAAAAGAAAGACCTAAAAAATTAAAAATTTTATTTTAAAAAAAAAAGTTTCGAAATGAAACCCTTATAACTTACCGATCCAAAATTTAAAGTCGAAGCTGATACATACATAAAAAAAAAAATTAGAAAATTTTACTTTAAAAAAAAGCCAAAAAAAGTTTCAAAACGAAAAGAAACTTTTGAAACTTACCAATCTGAAAGAAAGATTAAAGCCAATATATGCCTAAAAAAAAAGAAATTAATTAAAAATTTTTTATTTTTAAAATAAAAAGAAATAAGTTTTGAAATGAAACTTTCAAAACTTACTGATCTGAAGCGCAAAACCAAACCGATACCTAAAAAAAAGGAAAAATAATTAGATTATTTTATTAAAAAAAAACCTAAGTTCGAAAGAAAGAAAGAAACTTTCGAAACTTATCTAAAGCCCAAAAGGAAGATTAAAGCCGATATCTAAAAAAAAAGAAAAAAAAAATAGTTTTTTTTTTTCAAAAAAATATTACTAAAGTTTCGAAAGTTTTCACTTTAAAACTTACCTATCCAAACTCCAAAGCCCAAAAGGAAGAAAAGCCAATATCTAAAAAAAAGAAAGAATATGAAACGTTAATAAACGCTTCGTTACTGTAAAAAAAAAAAAAATAATAAGGACTAACCACTGAATTCCAAAGCGTTAAAAAAGACCTGGCTGTCTAGAATTTTCCACGCGTCCAAAGGTCAAAATGTGATAAACCCTAAAAAAAAAAGAAAGGTTAGTAAGGTCAAAAAAAAAAATTAAACCCAAAAATTCACAAGCTGAAATGAAAATGTTCCTAAAAAAAATTCGTAATTTTTTTACTTGGTGAAAAGCGGTTAATTTAGGTGAAGGGAAGGATGAAAGAGAGGAGGAAATAAAAGAAAGGGAGAGAGGGTAACGGAGAGAGAAGAAGAACAAAAGAAGTGGGAAAAGGCAAAAACGGAGGAGAGGAGGAAAAAAAGAAGAACGAAAAAAGGGGAAAGGGAAAAATGGAAGAGAGGGAGGGGTATTTTGTTAAAAAAAGTTTAAAAATAGTTTAAAAAAGTAGATTATTAGTATTACGTGATACGTAATATGCGTAATACATAATTTTATAAGAATAGAGGGGATTCAGTTATCGGTGAAACTTAAAATTTTATTGCAAAAATATTTTTTAAAAAAATTATTTTGCAAACATATTTATTTATTCAAAATAATCTTATTTAATGAATTTTATATTAAAATTTAAGTCACACATTTACGATTTTAAAGAAAAAAATCCCGCATTTATTTTTAATCAAGTGGTACAAAAAAAAATAATATCAATAAATAAAAAAGATAAGTAAATTACAATGATCAAGGAGAAAGATGCTAATAAAAAATGAAATAACAATGGAGTAATGGAAAGTAATAAAAGATGAAAGGGAGTAAAAAAGAGTAATGAGAAGTGATAAGAAACAAAAAGGAGAAATAGAGAGATGAAAAGGAGTGATAGGAGTCGAAGAGGAGTGATGGGAGACGAAAATGGTGATGGGAGACGAAAAGAAATGATGGGAGACAAAAAGGAGTGATGGGAGGCGAAAAGGAGTGATGGGAGACGAAAATAAACGATGGGAGACGAAAAGTGGTGATGGGAGACGAAGAGGACGGAGTGATGGAGACGAAGAGGAGTGATGGGAAACGAAGAGAGTGATGGGAGATGAAAAGAAATAATGGAAGACGAAAAGGAGTGATGGGAGACGAAAAGAAATGATGGGAAGATGAAGAGGAGTGATGGGAGACGAAAAGAAGTGAAGAGGAGCGATGTTCTCGTTATACTGCTTAATGGAGACGAAAAGTAGCGATGGGAGATAAAAGAAATGATGGGAAGATGAAGAAAAGTGATGGGAGACGAAAAGGAGTGATGAGAGACGAAAAGAAGTGATGGGAGACGAAGAGGAGTGATGGGAGACAAAAAGAAGTGATAGGAGAAGAGGAGTGATGGAAAATAAAAAGGAGTGATGGGAGACGAAGAGGAGTAACGGAGGACGAAAAGGAGTGATGGGAGACGAAAAGAAATGAAGAGGAGTGATGGGAGACGAAAAGAAGTGATGGGGAACGAACAAATAAACATGACGTGATCATGTGGCCAATCTGGCCAATCAAATATTAAAGCTGTTGACCCAGGCGATGTGGCTCTTTTTTATATAGTTATATTGAGATTTAAAATATGTGTATATATGTACATTAAATATCACCAATTAACTTTATAAAACAATATTGCTAACTTAATTATGGATAACTTTCAATTACTAACAGTTACTTTGTGATAATTTTTGATAATTGACAGTATCCCAAATTATCATTATGATAATATTTGATAATCATCAATATCATGAAATAACTTGATGATAACTATCGATAATCATATCTGCAGATAACGCAGATAATTATTATTAATTATCATATTTTGTTAATTATCAGCATTTTACAGCGATAAATATCGATAAAGTGATATATATTGCTATATATCACCTGGAAAAATTTCCTAATGTTATAAGATAACTCAAGCAATATTTTGTACAACGCTTTTCATCAATAATGATATAAAAAAATATTTGCAAAATGTTTTTTATATATTAAAACACTTAGAAAAAAACGTTTCGCAACGTTTTTTATCAATAATAATGTAAGAAAATGTTGCAGGATGTTTTTTTATATTAAAACATTTAAAAAAACGTTTTGCAACATTTTTTATTAATAATAATATAAAAATATATTAAGAAACGTTTTTTTATATTAAAACACTTA